CAAAGCGTCACTCTGTCCGACTCTGGCAGCCCCACAGCGACGGGGGAACAGCTGAAAGCAGAGACCCGTCTGCTCCAGGGGCCCTTGCGAAGAGATGGCCAAGCAAGCGACTGGCAAGGTCCTCCTACTACCAGTTTGGTTAAGAAAGGATAGGGATTTGGCAAAGAGATATTTATCACAGGGGGTCAGACAGGAGCTCCCGCAGCTGGGGCTGTTTGCCAGCATAAGCCCCTAATGCCCTCCTATAACAACACAGAGGGCAAAACCAGGCACCTCGTTCCTCTTGTTTCTCTTTCAGCCCTCCCCCTCTGCCAAACACACCCATACTGTGGTTTTAAACAGACTGGGTATACCAAACAACAGCCATGCCCCGGCGGCCAGTTGCTCTCCCGCTCCAGTAAGTGATTTCCAGGGATGAAGTGAGGCACAGCTGGCTCTTTGCTGCTCCAACTGGCAAAATGCTTAATATCCTGATGTTAAACATGATATCCCTTTACCTGCAAAGGCGGGAGCCTTAGGGCGAAATTCAACTCTGCCCACAAGTCTTCAACCAAGGGAGCAATGAAGGAAAGGCCCTCCTGGGTCAGGTCCTGCAGTGTCTTGCCAGGCACAAAAGCCCAAGAGACAGACACCTGATTCTGCCACACACGCGAAGGACGTGTTGAATCACAGACATATCAGAGCTACCCCCTTATGCAAACACCCCCAGAAACAAAACAAAAAAGCCAAAAGGATAAAAGCTGAAAGCACCTCCTACAAGTAAGTGACCCAGGGTAGTAAGTAAATAGACCTCAGGGGTACACTTACCATTTGAACACGCTTCAACCTAAAGCTTTTACCTTTTCACTCCAAAAGCCATTTTTGTACGGCTATGAAGAAACACGTGGCTGTTTGTAGAGGACAACGAAACTCCAGGCATTTCCTTCCTGCAGCTCTTTTTATTGTGTTTTGAAGGACTCATGAGCTGGTATTTGAGATGGGTCACTCAAACCTGCTCCCACCACCCCCAGAGTGAACAGGAACCCAAGGAAGAGGGCGAGCACTACCTGGCACTACTTCTCACCCGGGCTGAGGATCTGCACCTGGGGCAGCGGCCCTTAACTGGGCCCAGGTGCAGCCATCATTAGCATCATTTGCTACACCAAAAAGCCCTAATGGGGTTTCTACCAGAAAAATTATGCAAGCATAATTGATGCGGTGCTTTTATTACACTAACGTGTTAGGCGTTGCTGCTAATATCCTAGGGAGGCTGCTATATTAGACTCGTGTTCTTGCTCTTGTAGCAAATTCCTCCTGCATGCACGGCTCCAGGTGAGGAGGTGCTGAGCGTGCCTGTACTGGGAAATGTGCTCAGACCAGTGCAGCCTCTAGTGGAAACCTGATGATCGTATCTAAAGACTTGCCCTCGTTGCACCTGTGGGTGAGGCAGATAGAGCTTCCCCTTGTCTGAATTAGAGGCATGCATGATACTCCTGCATCAGCGTAACTTAACTAATGCAAAGATCTTCTGCGTTCGCAAAACCCTCATGTGACTCACTGTGTCCTTCCTTGGCCCGAAGCTGGGAGCGTCACGGCCGAGTTTTCTCCACGATACTCATGCATACAGACCTTCCTGGGTACAGCTGCTCATGCTGAAAGAGTAGGGGGAAAAAAAAACCATCAAGACGAAGAAATGTTCTGCTATCTTTCTAGATCTCAGCTAGCATAGTTCCTTGCATTCCTCGTGTTCAGCGGGAAGAAGTAGACCCCTCGCTCCTGAAAGTTTCATAACTGCTGCTAACAAATTGGTACCCGTGCAAAGGGAATTGCCAGTCCCTCATTCTAGAGACCCTGCGGGAACTGTTTCTATTTTTCCAAAGCTGTTTTGCATCATTTTGCAGATAGGGTATGTCAATGCTTTAACAACCTTTTGTGTCAGCTGCGGGGCAATTTGTCAGATTACATGGGATGAGAAAACACGCAAGTAGGCACAGAGCTTGGGTTAACTTACCTCCTGTTTAAAAACAAACACAGGTATATAGCTTCCTAAAGGCAACATCTTCTCGCACAGCAATAGGAAGTTACAAGAGTAAGTGGTGGGCCCAATTTTTTTTTTTTTTTTTTTTTTTTTTTTTTTTTTACTGTTGAAGTAATGCTTACTGTTGAAGTAATGCTTAATCCTGCCTCTATTTTGTGATTAGCGCTACTCACAACTTACTCAAATTTCACCCAAAGAATCGAGAGACCTGCTGTGCCCAGAACTCCCAAAGAGAGTGAGACCGGACTAAATTCAGCCATTCTGAGGACTCCTACCCACAACCAAAAAAGTGACCAATTTGCAGACAGGGTAAACCATTAGAGCATAAGGGGAAACAGGAATCTCTTTAAACCTCTTAGCGTGAAGCAGGCAATGAAGCAACTCCAGGTAGCAGGGCTGCCCTTCTCCTCGGCTGCATGCAGCATTATACCCCCTTAATCCTAAAATGTGATTTACAGCTCAAGCTGTAAGGGGAGAGACGCGTGCCAGCATTTGGTCTGCCTCTGAATCAACGTGAGCTACTCTTTCAGCAGATTTTGCATGTGCTAACAAAGGGTATCAACAGACAGTCATAAACAAACAGGTTACAGCCAACTGCTGTATTATTGTCCATCATCTGAGCTATCCAGTAAGCAACACGCTCCCAGCCAGTAGTGACTGTCAAGTGAGACGCGTTAGTTTAACCCATTTCACTCGAACAAGCTCAGTGAGGCTTTTCCAACCTCAGCAATGCAAAAGCATCAGCATCCAGGGCCGGTCTCAGGCCTGCAGGTACTTCAGCAGTCACTCAATGTTACCTGAGTGTGCTTCGCTAACTTCAAGAAATAAGTTTACAGGGTGAGAGCTGACATTTCTCAGGAGAAAAACCTCTATTTTTCTAGTCAAAGCTATGCTTATAGTAAGCAAGAGAATACCTCCAAGGGTGTTTAAATGAAAATATGGTGTCACGGAAAGCCTCCTGCTCACGCCTTAGTCCATCAAACCAAAACAACACTTTCATAGTAGTGTTGTCATTTGCCACTGTTACTTACTTGGATTTTTTATCTTTACAATCTACCCTCCTCTTTTATTTGTGATCACAATTATATCATTATGCTCCATTGATTTCATCTCAACCGCTTCCACTGAGAGCGTGCTGCTATCGAACACAGTTGTGACTGCAATTCAGGGCTCATCAGAAGAAGAGGGACAAAGGTATTTATGCCTTGACGAACGGTACCAAAAGCATGTACAAAATGGTAAAATATTGACATGAGCCTTACCCTCTTCCCAGCGCCTGCACCCTACTCAGATGAACACCACTGACGGGATGTAGCCACACAATATACATCACAGGGAAAACCAAAAGCAAGATGTGGCCGAGCATGTGGTGCAGTTCCTCTTGCTGTGCCATCCAAGCAACCCAAATCTTGGCACACTGGAAGACTTTTCTGATACATTGCCTAAACTGTAACTTCTAACCTAGAAACTTGAAAGTTTCTTTTAGTGCTGCTCCCACTCTCCAGAGGTTACAGTTTAGCAGTCCTGCAGCTCCACAGGGCAATTTGTCCCGCAAACCGGCATGATAATGTACTGCGGCAGAAACTAACGGTTCAGAGTCAGCGATGTGACCTGTGTAGCTTGCTTACTCGAGAGCAACACTGCCGCACGCATCCCCTCTTGCATGCGTCTGCAGGGTCTGGACCTTAAAAGTTATCCCAAGGTTTTGTGTTACCGAAACAGAAATCAGAAGCCTGTACACACCATATATTGCAATCTCTGCCTGGGGTTTGTGAAGGTTGCATACACTTCTGGGTTTGCAGCGGGCTGGAGGATATTCCAGCTGCCTAGATGACAGGCAGCTGAAAATATTTATGGATACCCGTGAGCCTGCAGTAGAGATGATTTCTGGAGCGTGACTTAGGGCCTGATCCAGACCTCTTTAAAGCCAGTGAGCCTATATCGAGCTCAGTCCCTCCACTCCTCTGTTCCCTGACTGTAAGACAGAAAAAACAGCACACCCTCTCTCCCACACTTTCCACCCACTATTCACTCCCTAAACTCCTTGCGGCAGGGGCTGTCATTTGTTTGGTGTTCAGAGGGCACGCTGCCCACTGGGGCACTGATCTTATCCATCCCTCTCAGCTGTCATGTACACACCCGTGGTAATAGCATTAGCAATACAGAACAACATTAGATCCCCGCTCTAGTACAACGTGTGTCCAGCCTACCTCAGCCACACAGCGAATACAGAGATGATACGAGATATAATTTGACTTCAGGCACTCTTGGTATCTGTGTGTAGTTGTCAGACATGGGTACAATCCCACACACTTGTAATAACAGCTACCCCGAACCACATCACATTCATTTATCTTTACTGCCAGTTTTCCTAAGTCACAGAATCACAGGACAGTTCCTGTTGGAAGGCACCTCTGGAGATGGTCTGGTCCAGCCCCTGCTCAGGCGGGGTCACACAGAGCAGGATTGCGTCCAGGGGAGCTTTGAATGTCCCTGAGGATGGAGACCGCAACCTCTCCAGGCAACCTGCTCCACTATCTGACCACCCTCACTGTAAAAAAGTTTTTCCTCACACACAAACGGAGTTTCTTGCATTTCGATTTGTGCCCATCGCCTCCTGTCCGTTCACTGATAAAATGACTGATAAAGTGCTCTTTCTCCTCACCGCACGCCAGCAAATTAGCCTCACGCTTCTCAGAGCGCTAGTAAGGCTGCACACACAGCCCCTCTACCCTGCTTCCCTCCTTCACTGCCGCCGTTTGTCACCGCTGTCACCCCAGCCGTGCAGCCCCACGGGCCGCCACCCCGGGCAAAGGCAACCGGGGGGTGGCGGCCCGGCTGCGAAGGGGGAGGAGGAGGCGGAGAGGCCCGGCGCGGCAGGAGGCGGGTTTCCCCGGCGCGGCAGCGCCGTGCACCTGGATGCAGCGCCGAGCACCGACGTGCAGCACCGAGACGGCGTACCGAGAGCCGGCAGGCCCGGAGCATGGCGCGAGAGCTGAGTCAGGAGGCCGTGCTGGACTTCCTCTGGGGGGCCGGGGGCCGAGCCCCCAACACGGCGCTGCTCCGCCACTTCCAGCGCTTCCTCCGCGACCCGGCGCTGACGGAGCAGCAGCGGCGGGAGCGCCGCGAACACTTCAAGAGCCTCGTCAATTCCCTGGCCACCGTCCACCCCGCCGCCGCCCCCGGCGCCTCCAAGGACATCGTCCTCCGCCGCAGGTACTGCGCCCTCCTCGATGA